AATTGGCACCTTGGAAGATCTGAAAATATGAATTAATACCACTATACAAAACATAATTCTGAAAAGTCAAGGCATGACAGTATCATACCACCAAATTCTTGCCAATACACAGCCATACGATGGGGGTACTAAACAATGTGTGGATTTATGTAGATGTGCCATTAAAATATTAAAGCAGACTYAATGTTTGTGTTGGCTAAGGTCTATTAGCTGGGCTGGACATCTTGACATGTTGCAAACAGTTTACTAGTTGGGCGAAGCTAAAAGACAAATGTGTAATTTTTGACAAAAAACGCATCTAACAAAATACAAAGAATCTAACTTGCCCAGTCTCATTTTTTTGTTCTTTATCCTCTGCAATGAGCTGCTCAGCATGGAGTCTTTGACATCAACCACTTTCAATTTGACTTTTTACCTCTCTAACGGAGTGACGTGTTTTGGGTGATGAAATCTACTGAAATGCAGCCGGAGATTTGAAAGCATGTGTAACATATTGTATTGCATGTCAAACACATAGCTGGACTTTGTGATTTAAAATGTACAGACTGGTGTTATTTATATACCAACTGTTATGTCTAGCAATGCTGATGGGTTAAGAGCATAACATGAGATGACAAACAATTACTGGTACATAAACAACTAAAATCATATTTTTGAATTATAAAGTTACTTTATAATTTCTCTGACTTCAAACTGCACGTTCTTTTAAGTCTTTATATTGAAGAAAGACACATTTAGTAAATAATGCTTTTTTTTTAATGCTACATTAATTTGTTTTGTCAAGTAAATTACCTGCATTAAATCTGCCCTTGATTTTCAAAAAAAAAAAAAATAAAAAAATACAAAAATAAACAAATGAAGGTCACACCTACAACAACTATGTTGTGAGCAATAAAGTAGAAATACTGCACATCATTTGGGGCTTTTAGTCATTAATTTAATTTTCTTCAACAAAGCGTTCAATTTTTCCTTGATATTTCTGCATAAATAATGCTAACAACTCAGCTTTTAAAGTTATTTCAACTTGTTGAGGCATTCAGGTAATTGTTTTCAGTTAGAACTTGTAACTTTGCATTTGAAAGCACCAATAGATCTGCCATATCTTCTTAAAATTTCCCAGCTGGGGATCAATAAAGTTGAATTGTATGTTATTCTGAAATAACTGCACAGGCATGACAAAAGTTTAAACCAAACATACAGATAATGTAATAAAATAAGAGATATAATAAATAATAACAGAGAAAATGTTTGAAAAGGCTATTTTCTCTATTCAAGACCAGTCTATTTATATTATAAATACAAAAACTATGGGGTGCCGTTTGTAAAGTTATACAGTCAAAAATTACCACCAATATTTTTGTTTTATTTAGCCTTTTATAAGACAAAAAAGAACAGATTTATTTTTCAAAGTCAGTTTTTCACCATATGATTCATACATTTATAAATGTCATTG